GTAGCCGTTTGCTTGGTGGAGCAAGAGCAATTTTGATCAAATTCGGTGGTGTTCACACTACAAGAAAAGTGGGTATATGAGACGGAACTATTTGCGACGGCACACTTGCCGTCTCAAAAAGTCACTTTTTGCGACGGCAGAAAATGCCATCTCAAAAAAGCAGATTATTTGCGACGGCACCATTTGCCGTCTCAAAAAATGAGAGTATTTGCGACGGCAGAAAATACCGTCGCAAATACTCTCATTTTTTGAGACGGCAAATAGTGCTGTCGCAAATGTTCTGCTTTTTTGAGACGGTAAATGGTGCCGTCGCAAATACTCTGCTTTTTTGAGATGGCATTTTTTGCCGTCGCAAAAAGTGACTTTCGTGTTTTTTTTTTAGTGAATATTTTTAAAATTTTAAATATTTTTTTAAGACGCACCTTACTTAGATGTATCTAAAAAATAAAAAATTATGAAAAAATATTTTTTAAAATTAATAAATACATAAAAATACAAAAAAAAAAATGTATTGAATTATTGTATTTTTTTTTGTATTTTTGGTGTTTTGTGAATTTTTAAAAGATTTTTTTTATAACTTTTTTAATTTTTAGGTGTATTTATATTAGATGTGTCTAAAAATTAAAAAAAAATACTTAAAATATTAAAAAAATTCAGTAAAAATAATATAACACGGAAAACAAGAAAGTATCATTTTTTCAAAAGAGTTTTTTGAAAACTCTAATCTAGCATAGTGATTGTGGTTTTGAGATAGCTTCATATATATACAGTTACAAAATGGTTTGAATAAATTCAACGGTATTTTCTGTCGCAAAAAAAAATTAAAAAAAATAATGTCGTCTTACTCTTTTGATATAACATTTCTCTTTTCATTCATTTTTTCATTTTCCTGTCTCTCTGTCTCTATATCTCTCTCTTCTCTTTATCTCTTTCACTCATCACTTTTCTTTCTCTGTCTATCTATTTCTCTCTCTCATTTTCTCTCTGTGTCTCTCGCCTACCTCTCTTCTCTCTATCTCTCTTATCTGTTTTCTCTCTCTGTCTTTCTCGCTCATCTCTCTTCTCTCTATCTCTCTCATTTCTTTTCTCTCTCTCTCTCTCTTATCTTTCTACCTCTCTCTATCTCTCTCGCCCATTTCTCTTTTCTCTCTGTCTCTTTCTTTTTCTGTGTCTCTCTCTCGCTCATCTCTTTTCGCTCTATTTCTCTATTTTTTTGTTTATCTCTCGCTTATCTCTTGTTTCTCTCACTTTTTCTATCTCTCTCTCTCTCTATCTCTTTTTTTGTCTATCTCTCTCTCTTATTGTCTCTCTCTCACTCATCACTCTTCTCTCTCTCTCTCTCTCTCTGTCTACTTGTCTATTTGTCTATTTATCCCTCACTATGTTCACTTTGCTCACTCTCTTATGCTCATCTTCTCTATTTATCGAGCTCTTTCTCGATTTATCGATCCACTACAAGAAAATACACTTTTAGCAACCACTTTGTCTCTCTCTCTCTCTCGCTCATCGCTCTATCTCTGTCTCTCTTTCTATCTCTCTTCTTCATCTGTCTCTCACAAAATTAAAATATTTTTTAAATATTAAAATATTTAAAATATTTAAAAAATTGATTTGAATTAAGTTTTGAAAAGAGTTTTGAATTATGTGTTTGGTTATGAGTTTCGAAAAGTAATGATTATATTTTGAATTGAGTTTTGAAAAATGGATGTAGAATTATGATTTAAAAGCTCAAAACAAACACCATACTTAAATCAATGGGTGGAACTATGACCACTACCACTACCACTCCCTCTGTCTCTTTTTTTTTTTTTTTCTATCTCTTTCTCGTTAATCTCTTTTTACTTTCTTTCTCTATCTTTTAGTTTATCGCTTGCTCATATCTTGTTTCTCTCTCTTTTTCTGTCTATCTCTCTCTGTCTATCTCTTTCTCTTTTCGTCTCTCTCTCTCTCACTCTCACTCATCACTCTTCTCTTTCTCTGTCTGACTGTCTGTCTGTCTCTCTCCCCCACTATGTTCGCCTTGCTCGTTCTCTCCCTCATATCTTCTTTATTTATTGAGCTCCCTTTCGATTTATTGATCCACTACAAGAAAATGCACTTTTAGCGACCACTCTGTCTCTTTCTCTGTCTCTGTATCTCTTTCTCTGTCTCTCTATCTCTTTTCTCTATTCGTCTCTCACTCATCTCTCTCTCTCACCACCCATATTCTCTACCACATTTACCACTACTGTAAATGCCATTCAACTACCCCAATTCTTTTCTTTCTCTCTTTCACTCATCACTCTTCTTTCTCTGTCTGTTTGTCTATCTGTCTGTGTGTCTTTCGTTCATCTTTCTTCTCTCTATCTCTTTCATTTGTCTTCTCTCTCTGTCTTTCTCGCTCATCTCTCTTCTCTCATCTCTTTGCTCTCTCTGTCTCTCTCGCTCATCTTTCTTCTCTCTATCTCTCTAGTTTTCTATTCTCTCTCTCGTTCATCTTTTTTCACTCTCTTTCTCTCTTTTTTTGTATCGCTCATCTCTTGTTTCTCTCTCTTTTTCTGTCTCTCTCTCTCTCTCTCTATCTCTTTCTCTCTTTGTCTGTTTGTTTCTCTTTCTCTCTCTCTCTCTGTCTCTCTCTCTCACTCATCACTCTTAATAAAAAAATATTTTTCATTAAAATATTATCCTTACTTCTACCAAATAAAAAATAATAATAATAATTTTTCATTCATTAAATATTCATTTATGATGAAAATAAAAATTATTATTTATTTTTTTATTATTTAAATATTAATTTATGATGAAAATTATTATTATTATTATTATTTTTCCCAATCCCGCCCGCTCGTTCCCCCATTTTTTTCCATTCCCGCGCCCCCTCCCCAAATCCCCAATCTCTTAGAACCAAAATCCCTAATTTCTACCAAATATTTCTCTCTCTCGCGACTGTGAATGAAGGACCCCCCAAATCCCTAATCTCTTAGAACCAAAATCCCTAATTTCTACCAAATATTTCTCTCTCTCGCGACTATGAATGAAGGAATCCAGACATCGACGACCATAGTCGGAGTCCTTAGCTTCTCTATCGATAGCCATTACCAGCAAACGATGTTCGATCCCTCTCTCTCTCTCTCTCTCTCTATGTCAATCTTCTTTCATCTTTTGTCTCTTGATTTCAATCTCAATCTGTCACGCAATCACGATCGATTTCAAGACCTTGTGTTCTCTTAATTGATTGATCCTCAATCTCTCACTTTCCGCATGAATCAGCCTCCGGCATAAAGAAGACAATGGCGTGAATCACTCTCTGGCGTCTCAGCTCTTCAGTGTCGATCTCCTCTTCGGCGTTGATCTCCTTGAATAACATCTCATATGATCTAAGGTAATTCGAACTAGGTGATTTTTTTTTTTTAACAAAATCAGTTAATAGACTAAGGTTTCTTAATCTGAGAATATGATAAATAAATTTTTGACTCTCTTTTTTATTTATGTTTTATTTTACTGCTCTTTGGGGGTGAAAATTGGGATTGTGATATTATTTTTTGCCTTATCAATAGCAAAATTGGGAAGTGCCCATGATACTATTCTCTCTCTGTTATTTCCCTCTAATGGAACATATTGCTGTACAAACACAATTTTTTGTGTTAACCTTACCATTTTTTAGTGAACCAATTCTTACCCATTATACACCTTCAGGTTGCATCTTGGTGGGACTATGGTTATCAAACAACTGCTATGGCTTACCGTACTGTCATTGTTGACAATAATACTTGGAATAACACGCATATTGCTATTGTTGGTACTGCGATGTCATCTCCTGAAAAGGCGGCTTGGGAGATTTTCAACTCCTTGGATGTGAAATATGTTCTGGTTGTATTTGGAGGTTGGTTTTCTAATGTTGCTAAGATTATCTTACTTTGGGGAAACAAAACAATATTCTGAAGTTTGACTTTACAGGTCTTATTGGCTATCCGAGTGACGATATCAATAAGTTCCTGTGGATGGTTCGTATAGGTGGTGGTGTATTCCCTCACATCAAGGAACCTGATTATCTGGTAAGTAGTTATTTTTGTCAGTTTAATTTCTGATAGGAATTTGTGGTATTCCAATTGATGATACTATGTTGCCACACCAGGTAATGATCTTTGAATTTGTTTGAGATGTACAAATCAGTAAATAGAAATTCACTGCATATAGTGGAATACTATGTATTATGCTACAAGTCATGCTTACATAACAAATATTTATACAATTGTGCACCAAGTTGGATTAAAATAATTCGTTATTTAAACTATTTGGGGTCAGTCATAAATATATTGGTTCCCCATCCAGCTCTACCCAGGACGATAACTTCAGTCAAACTGCACCTAGTAAAATTTTCTATCTATTTCAATTATTGTTAATTTTGTTCTTCTTCCCTACCATTAGCTGCCTTCTTTGGAGCAGTTGTCAGCAAGGCTTCAAGTTATGGAATTGGCTTTGCTTAATGGTTGTGGTCATTGTGCAATGATATTGGGAGCATCAGTCAATGTGTGAGGGGAATCAGAAACTAAACGCATGAGATTTTTTTAAGCGCATTTTTAACACCAAAAAACTTATTGATAAGTATGTTATGATCCAATTTATCAAAATTTGAATGTTTGTAATGGTTTTAATCAATGTTGTGCACCTAAGAACATGTTTTCTAGATGTTATTGAATTTTAGGTTGGTTTTAAGGCTTAAAAAGTGGAGAATTTCGTGTAGTAGGGAATTGCACTATCTAGAGTATTTAGAAATGCTAGTAGAATAGATTAGATAATTCATAAAAATATAGTAATTGTAAGTCAATATTTGTTGTTACAATGGTAATACAAGTAATATGACAACACTAGTGGCTAATATAATGTATGCTATATGTATTACCTCATTGATTCATGAGTTTACACGTAAAACAAATGACGTATATGACTCTTAATTTTTTGAATTAGTAGATTACCATTTGAAATTCATAGTTTTGATTTTAAATCAATAAGTTAGTAATATAGATTAATGAAATTAGGATTTTCAATTAAAGAATATGAAAATGAAGAATTTAAAAAGAGGAAAATAATTTAAAATAAAAGAATAATTTGAGTGTTAATGTTTAAGGAAGAATAAGAGATTTTCAGTTTAGAGTTTTACTTTTAAACATTTTTAATGTCTTAACAGAGGTAAAATTGAATATCGTACCATAACAGTGATGTAATGGCTTGTAATCTGCAGTTGCGTGCAGCTTTGACTTTTTTTGTTATGGAGCTCCAAAATCCCTTTATGTAACAGCTATTACATAATGTAGTGGCCGTTTTTTAAACTCATGGTTGTCAGTCTTGATTGCACAGAGCCAAAGCTTTCTGGTTAATTCTGGTTGATGGCTTCAAGTTTAATATATAATGTCATGAGAACTAATTTGTTTACATTAGAAACACCTTGCATTGTATCCTCTTGTTTAGAGATTGAAAAACTTGGGCAAGTGATTGAATGTTTCCTCTTGGTTAAGTCTAAGCTTTGTTATATGTCTTTTCTCTTTTGGTGGTAATAAAAGCTTACTTACCAAAAAAACAAAAAAAGAATGTTACAGATTACTTGACAAAAGCTATGATATGGATAAATTAAAACATAGAAAATGATACATTGTTTATTTTTCAGATTTAAAAATTCAAGTATTGTCATGTTGACAAAAATTCAAAACCTATTGCATATTTTTGCGTGTCATTTGTTATTCTCCAATCATGAAACACTAAGTTCTCTGTTTTGTTTACACATGCATGTCTATTACTTATTATTTTTTTATACATGATTAGGTTCATGTATGCCTGTTATATCTTATCTTTTATGGATTTGTTTTATCTTAGCATCTTTTGTTTTAGTATGGCTGAAAAAATATGATATATATATATTGTACCTGTATCTGCGCCTGCGTCTGCACCTGCACCTGCTGCTGCTCCTACCTCTACAGTTACTGCCATGTGAGTATTTTTCTTCTTTGGTTAACTTGTGAAGACTGAAGAGCATGATTTTTTTTTGTCTGTTTATTTAATTTGGACAATACTGGTTACCTTTGTTAATCCAATAATGTGTGTTCAACCAGACCAGAGTCTAATGTCTATGGTCAAGCGGCATCGAATTTGGTTGCTGGAAGTAACCTTGATGGAGCGGTCCGGCAAATTCTTGATATGGGTGGAGGGACTTGGGATAGGGATACTGTTGTTCGAGCTCTTCGTGCTGCTTACAACCCAGAGAGAGCTGTTGAATATTTATATTCTGTCAGCGTCTTTACTTGTATTTGATCTCTTTTGTGAATTTATTTTTCAAATGGGAAGTGCAGAAGCATGACGAAAATTTTTGTTTTTGATTTACGTTATTTAGATTTGTGAACAACATTATGTATTGGATAATTTTGTTGATGTATTGTTATGAATGGAAGAATATTTTAATTATGGATGAATTATTATTTTTATACTGGACTTTTTATATTATTATGTAATTATTGGTTTTTTTTTAGTTATTTTTCATTTAATACAGGTTATTTTCATATATTTATTTATTTATTTTTTGAGAGGGCAGTCCACTCACCTTCTCAAATAGGGGTTTTTTGCGACGGCAGTAATGCGTCGCAAAAGATAGGGCATTTGGTTGAAAATGAGGACTTTTAGCGACGGTGTAATTTGCTGTCGCCAATAGTGCTTTAGCGACGGCACCAAGTGCTGTCTCAAATAACCCTTTAGCGACGGTACTTGTGCCGTCGCAAATACCCCTTTTAGCGACGGCAAAACAGTGCTGTCTCAAAAAAATTTCAGATTTTCACACGTTAATGGCGACGGCATTTTTCCGTCGCAAAAGGCTTCTTTGCCGTCGCAAACCAAAGGCGACGGCGTCATACCGTCGCTAAAGCCCTTTTGCAACCCCCTCTGTTGCGACCCCCCACTTGCCGTCGCAAAAGGCCACTTACCATCGCAAAAAACCTTTTGAGACGGCGTTTTAGGTATTTGCGACGGCATTTTTCCGTCGCAAAAAATTAATTTTTTTGTAGTGTCATGTGCTGATGAACGAGCAGTAGTGCTGCTCTGCTTCGTTTAGTTCAATTTTTTATTTGTTTTTGAAAAATTTTATTCATTTATTTTGTAAGGTTTTTTCTCCTAATTATTTGTGATTATTTAGAATTCATCTATTTTTTGTGAGACCATTCGTGTCTCGTTTGTAATCTTTTGAAAACTTTTTAGTTGATAGTGAAATCAAAGTAAAAATTCATGTGTCGTTATTGATTTAATTTTTTCACATTAATTTTTATTTCTATTGATTTATTTACTTATATGAAATCATCTATTTTCCCTAACACATCTCTCTCTATGGCCCTGTTTGGTACAGCTTAATTTCAGCTTATTTCAGCTTTCAGCTTAATTTAAGTTATTTTGATGTGTTTGGTTTAGCTTATAGCTTATAGCTTATAGCTTTGTGGAAGTCAGAAAACAGCTTATTCTTTAAGTGGGGCAGGAGATGCTTTAAGAATAAGCTGGAAATCAGCTTAAGCTGAAAGTTATAAGCTATAAGCTGTTTAGGCATAAGCTATAAGCACTTTCCCACAGCTCTACCAAACAGGGCCTATGTATTCTCACTTCCCATTTCCCGTTTCCTATTTCCTCTTTCCTCTTTCCTCTTTGTGGCTCTAAATCTCTAGAGATTATTATAGAAATTGGTTTTCAATGTGGGTATGATTGGAGCCTATATTGATAAAATTCATGTTTGATTGGTTTTATAGTAGGGAGTTTTTGCCGTTTATGTTGATATAGAATGAACTGGCAATTCCTCAGTATATATGAGTCTAAATTTACTGATAATGATTCTGTATAGTAAACAGATAAACAGTTGTTACAATTTATGTTGATATATTAAACAAACATTGTTTAATATACAAAATCATTTTACTTCTTGTTTAAACAGTTTATTTAATATACAGAATTCAAGCAGTTTGTTTAATAGTTCCTTTGTGCTTTTTTATTTCTTGTGAAATATACAGAATTCCTCTGTAAATTGACAAGAAGTTTTTTATTTTTTAGGATCCAACAAAGATATCAACAACCATAACAAATGAGGTTCCATATTGTTGTCATTGGTAGAGCATACTGCTGATATGATATGCCAGACCTATGGAATAACTCCCCACGAAAGAGGCTAATAGATTACCTACTTTTAGACCCATCTTGGGTTTTCATGTTTCTTTTTTTATTGATAAATTACGTTTACAGTAATGTCCGGTGATCCGAAAATTCACGATTAGGATGGTTTAAAATGACATCATTTTAAGAATAAATCGATATCGTTTTGATACATTTGAACTATTCAAGTTATACAAATTCGGGCCATCAAATATTTTTCTTATACTTATCATCCTTTGAGATTTGAAAGTGGGTATATTTAATTTAATTTTTGAAATTATTTTTTAATTTTTTGCTTTTATATATATTTTTTGTCTTTAGTTAAAAAAAAATCATATTTTAATAAAAAAATTACTTTTTTGATGTACTTAATACATGCATTTAAAAAATAAAAATATTTGTGAAAAAATTCAAAAAAGAATTTACTAAATACAAAAAAATTAAAATGTACTAATTGGTGAAAAAAGACAAATTGTTACCTGAATTAAATTTTTTTTTTAAAAAAATCTAATATAATCATATTAAATTTATAGATTTTAATATATATATTTTTAAATCTCAAAAGAATTTAACCTAATTTGCTCAATTATTTTTTAATACTATTGTGGACTCAAAAGAAAATCATTTAAGGCAAAATACTCATTGACATTTAAATCCAGTAAGCAGAAAATAACATTTTTTTTTTCTTCTGTTTTTTTTTTTTTGCCTTTTTTTGAACAAGTGCAAAAGATACGTTATTGGTTTGGAACATCACCTCAACAATGTGGGGACTAGAAAAAAGCAGGTTTATCGATGACGTTAAACTATCGTTTAATTTATATTTAGAATAAATATGATGGGATATTGATTTTTGGATAAATTATATTGGTAATTTTTATATTTTAAATGTTGTATCATTTTTGATTTTTTGTAATTTTAATTGGCTCAATTTTGAATATGAATTTATAATTTTAACTCAGTTTGGTTTAATTAATTACAAATATCAGTTTTTTTTAAATAAAAAAATATACATATGAGTGGGGCATGTGTTATGTTTTTAGGAGCAAAATTATAAATTTGCTCAATTTAATGAGTTAATCTCAACCAACTCAGTGATCTTTTTTTGTCAAAAACCCTAATGACTTTATCGATTTAACAAAATTGACGTAAAATTTAAATTAAGTGTCAAAATTGAGCCAGCTAAGAATATAAAGGGCAAAATGTAGAGACTAATAGTGTAATTTTATTTTGATTTTCTTATGAGAAAAATAGGGATACATCTCTTTAGATTTTTTATTTTATTTATTTATTTTTGTAAAACTAAGTTTGTTTACTAGTAGTATAATACCCTTTGTAGTGTGAGACATCGAGTTCAACTCCTTAGAGAGTAATTTGATACCTTTTGTGGTGGTAGTTTATGTCTCTTCTATAATGGGATTGTTTGTAGTTAGTAGTGATTGTTAAACTTGGGTTTAGGCTTGGTTGCAATAGGCGCTGTTGATTTCTAACTATCGGGGGTTAGCATTATGTAGATATTTTTCATAATTATTACTCCTTTCATATCAATTGACTTTAAAAAAAAAAAAGTTTCTTAAGAAATTAAATTTTAAGAAAATAATTTTTTTTGGGACGTAAATGGTCGATATGGCCTTACAAACATGTAAAGCCCTATTTTTCTACTATTTCCCTCTTTGCTCTATTCATTCGCTAGTGTGTTTTACTAGCAGTACCTTAATCGCCATCAACTAACGTTGCTCTACCATTGTCCACTGGTGTAGTTCTACTATTTGCAATTCGTGCGGTCCAGATCTGGATCGCTATTCTCTATTCACTGCTTGAAACCATTGTTTGGCCTCAACAACCACCATTTCTCTCCATCTCTTTTTGTTCTCTTTTCTTTTTCCTTCTCGGTTGGTTTGGGAAGTGGGTTGGTTTTTTGACTTTTTTGGCTATTTTAGCCTGGGTTAAAAAGCTTAATTTGGGAAGAAATTTTTGGCTTTTTGACTTTTTTTGTGAGAGAAGAGTGTAATGATTATGGATTGGATGTGATATTTTATTTTTTTTTTTTGGCTAAAATAGCCTATTTTGTCTTTTGTGACTAAAATAACTAAAAAAACCCAATTTAACTCTTCCCAAACGGAGCCATATGTTTTTTTTTCCAACCAAAATACTGTGATTTCATTGTCACAAAATTAATATTCATCATGATAATGAAATTTTACTGAGTTATGAATACATAAATAAACTTAATGAATTTATATTGAATTAATTAAGTGACTCAAAACACAGAAATTTCATTGAGTTAGTGTTAAATTGCACTCTGTTTGCATACTATATTTTAGAGAAATTGCTCTGTGTTGAAGTAATAGAAATGTTTCAATGAGTTTTATTTAAAACTCAACTAAAATATTTTGTTGTTTTTATTGTTGATTTAGATTTTGTCTTTACATTTGAATGTGTTGAAATTTGTTGCTTTTGATGTCATTTGGCAAGCGAGTTAGGACTAAAAAAAGTACAAAAAAATAAAATATATTAAAAAAATTAATAAGATAAAATATTATACACAAATCATAATTATTTTTTTTTTTTCTCACAAAAAAATTTTAAAAAATAAAAAATTATTCCTGAACAAAGCTATTTTAATCAAGCTAAATTAACCGAAAAATAACAAAAATTTAAGCTGAAAAAGTTCTTCCCAAATTAAAAGTGCAATTCTTGAAATTTCACTCACTGTCCGATGTCCAGTGGTACAAATTATGAAATTTTACTTTGTCAAAAAATTATGTCAAAGAGTTATTGGGAAAAAAATATAAGACATTCACGAAAATATATACCAATTGTGAAAAAGTTGTAAAAATCATGTGAAGAGAGTTACCGGGAAGAAAAAAAAAAGTGAAAGAAAAGAAATATGAGACATTCATTAAAATTTAAGTAATATTACAAATTCATCCTTATTAATTCATAAATTACTTAAAAATTAACTTGTACCACACCTTATATGAACTCACATTATACAAATTAATTTCTATTACACAATCACCCCCCTTATATGAACCCACACTATACAAATTAATTTCTATTACACAACCACCTCGAAAATTTTAGGTGGATAAGTCTGGGTTACTACGCTTTCCGGACTTACCCTTAATATTTATACAACATCAACCAAGAAAGAAAAAAAAAATTGACAAAAGGGAAAATTGAAGTCGTTAATATTTGCTGGGTGGGGTTGATTCGGGCCTTTTCGCAATTAGAACAGGGCATTTTGCATTCTGTGCACAATAATTGCTCACACTTCCTAGAAAAGCCCTGTCATTTAAAATAACCACAAAACAAATAAAAAGTTAATCAATTATTTTTTCAAAATAGTATGCTAGTTGGTTGTTTTGAGAAGTAATTATTTTAGTTTATTTTTTTAAAATTTTTTAAAAAAAGACATGCTTATTTTTCAAGTTTTTACTAAAATAGTCAATTGTCAAAACACCATACCAAATGATCTTGCTTTTAGATTATGAATTTCATTAAGTCAATGCATTTATTTTGTTTATTTTGTAAACTCATGTGTAAATCATTAAATAAAATATAAAAAGAGAGTGAATTACAAATACATCTCTTAAAATATGCTTAAAATACGAATAACTCTTTGTTAAGGAATTTTACCTTTTTCTTTTTAACTCATAGAAAAAAATATTTATAAATCTCTATTTTATGCAAATCTTGTATTTGTAATTTACTAAAAAAAAGATTAATTTAACTATTATAATAATCACATAATTTTATCAATAAATAATTTAAAATTGGTAAGAAAATTGTTATTGTTTTTACTAAATATAAAAAAAATAATGAAAAATACAAAGTATTAATATGTAGATTAGGTGATTTTTTTTTCTCCACAAATGTTACTTTTGAAGTGCATTCAGGTCAAGTAGATCTAAAAAGTTTTAAAAAATGATCAAAATATTTTAAAAAATCACTAAAAGTTAAAAAATAAAAACCCAAAAACAAAATTTTAAATGTCAAAATTAATCAGAATGAACATTATTTCAAATTGAAAATAATCCAATTTCATAAAATGTGATTGGTTCAACAAAAAAATAAATAAATCAGAGGTTAAAAAATAAGAGTAGACTCACCTCTTGATAAGACCATAGCCATGGCTTCCCAACACCACTACATCGGCGCTCAACTTCTCCGCAGCTTGACAAATCACATCTCTTGGATCACCACTCTCTATCCTCGTCTCCACCTTAACCTATAATGCAAACACACACGCAATCCAAAAAATACTTATTTAACATGACTATTTTACCCTTCACAACACACCAAAAATACAAAAATAAATCAGAAAAAAAGAGTACACACATCAAGATTATGAACTTCCTTACAAAGCCTCTTCGCTTTCTCCATCCTAGACTCAGCAAGCTCGTTGTTGTACCTATCCATGGTCTCCATTACATCAGGCATCAATATGTACCCTGAAAATAATCATAATTTATCAAAACACCACTCAAATAGTTGCCCCTCAAGAAGAGAGATTAAAATAATAATCATAATTTATCAAAACACCACTCAAATAGTTGCCCCTCAAGAAGAGAGATTAAAATAAAAAGACAAATTACACACATGAGGTTTGTCATTTGACTATTGTGTTAATTTAGGGTGAGTTTGGGATACCATTAAAAAAATCATATATATATAAATAAATAAAAAATCTTTAATGGTTTTTTTTTTTCTAATTTATATATATATAAAAAAATTCGGATGCATCTAATATGCAAAGTTTCATAATAAGTAAAAAAATCCCAAAAATAAAAGTTATTTCTTTTTCAATTTTAAAAATTTTTTTACAATTTTAAATTTTTTTTCTTACTTATTTTTGTTTCGTCAGAAACTAAAATTATAAAAAAAAAATTAAAACTTAAAAAAAAAAAAAGTCATTAAAAAATTAATATCAAACACACTCGTTTTCACCAAAATGGTCTATTCATTTTCAAGTATACCATTATAAAGACTAGAAAAATGCTTGGAGCACTATTTTAAATTTTTTTTCTTACTTATTTTTGTTTCGTCAGAAACTAAAATTATAAAAAAAAAATTAAAACTTAAAAAAAAAAAAAATCATTAAAAAATTAATATCAAACACACTCGTTTTCACCAAAATGGTCTATTCATTTTCAAGTATACCATTATAAAGACTATATTGATTGAACTAAAAAATTAAGCAATGAAATTAAAAAAATTATCTCTCCTACCTGTTGCTCCGTCGATGATAGGGTAGATGGGGCGAGGTTTTTTGGCATAGAGGAGGACAAGGGTATCTTTGGAATTTTGAGGGACAACTACATTTTTCAGGCACCATGACAGAGCATACATGCTCTCATCTCCTTCATCCACGCCCACCAATATTTTCCTTTCGTTTGCTTCACACCCACCCATGTTTTGTGAGAATTGATCGGACGGTTGGAAATGCTTACGTATATTCTTCTGCTGTTGTTTTGTTTTTGTTTAGAGAGCAATTGTGTTTAGTTGGATTGAAGAAGGTGGGTTTATATACTGTAGTGGAACACTACATTTTTGAGGATTAACTTCATTAAAATCTCCGCCTCCGTTTGGAAAGTGGGTTTGGTTTTTTAATTTTTTTGTTATTTTAATTTGGTTAAAAAAATTGATTTGAAATTTTTTTTTTAGATTTTTTAGTTTTTTTTAAGAGAAAAATATAATAATTATATATTAAATGTGATATTTTATTTGTTACGATTAAAATAATTTATTTTATTTTTTTAACTAAAAGAAAATCACATTTAGCTTTTGCCGAATGGGGAGAACAAAAAAAACTTGAATTAAAATCTGTTGGCAGTTTCTGGTTTCTGCTTTGTTGGTATAGTTGGAGGTTTTTATAGCTTGACGTGTGTGTGTGTGTCTTTGGTGGTTTTGGAAACAGTGGGCCTTCTCAGAAAAGTCAATGGTTATCCAGATTAAGATTTTGTCTAGTTGGACGTTATCCCCTTTCTAGTTTTATTATAAAATCTAGGGTAAATTACAAATACCTCTCGAGGTTCGGCGAAAATACAGATTTTCTCTTGAGGTTTAAAAAATTACATCTCACCCCCTGAGGTTTATATTTTCATAATAAATTGCCCCCTGAAATTTTTATTTTCATACAGATTCCCCCCTAATTTTTCCTAATTTGTTATGAAAATTTGACTCTCAGGGGACAATTTGTAATTTCTCAAACCTCAGGGGAGAATTTGTATTTTTACCAAACTTTGAGGGGTGTTTGTAATTTGCCCTAAAATCTATGTTAATTATAGTAACTCGTTTAAATTATAATTTATTTGTATTTTATCTTTTTAAATTTCAAAACTTAACTGTTAGCTTTTTTGAAGTATTATTTTATTATAATTAAGGGTAAATTATATTGACACCTTCAGAGGTTTATGTTTATTATTTTCTTTTTATATTTTAAAAATTACATTCCCCTCCCTATAGTTTAAAGTTTCATTACAGATTGCTTTCTGAGATTTAAAGTTTCATAATAGTTCCTCTCTTACTGTAATGATCATCATACATAAAATTAAATTAATAAGGGGTCAGTATAATTTTTGAAATATGAGGAAAAAATTATAATAAATATAAATATCATGGGGGTGTCAATGTAATTTACACTATAATCCTATAATTAATTATTTTTGTGAAGAAAGAAGAGATAAGAGAGAAAGAGAGGCGTTGATGAGTGCAGTGGGCTGGGTACTTTTTAATTATCTTATATTTTATCTATTATATATATATATATATAATAAATATCTGAATATATACCTTAGCATATCCATTGCATAATCATTCCCAACCACTCACTCTCTAATAGTAATAAACTCTTAACACATCTTAACATACATTTTTAAATTTTACTTTTATTATTTTTTATCATATAACACATTTTAGCACATTTTTTTAACTGTAATGTTCTAAGCCCTTAAGAAAGTCATGGTAACTAATTAGGCTATGCCTAGTTGCTTGGATAATAATAGCCATTATTAATTATTTTTGGATAATAATACTCTTATCTGGTAAGTTTATTTGCACTTTGTTTCTTTCATCTTAGTGATAAAGTGCAAACGAGATCACGAATAAGGATATTATTGTCCTAAAAATTTAATAAATTTGTCATGTGTTTTACACATGATCTAATTCTCTATAAATTCTTAACAAAATTTTGAAAAAAATAATTAACTATAATAAGATAATAATTTGAGAGGCTAACTATTGAGTTTTGAAATTCAGAAAAGAAAATTATGTAAATGAGTTATAATTAAGGGGTATTTACTGTGATTTATACGGTGATAATTTAAACTGAGATTTTTATACGGTGATAATTTAAACTGAGATTTTTATACGGTGATTCCCCCAATGGTATGAACTTCCCTCAAAAAATTTTTTTTTTTACTTCTTTTATGGGTTTTAATTTTGGCAAACACCAATGAATTGAGTCGTCTATCTCAAAAGGCTTGTAGTAAAAGTTATCCAAACAAAAAAAAATAAGTTTTATGGTATAAAAACATGAACAAATCATATTTATTTTATAAAATGAGCAATCTATGAATTGTAAACTTTTTAAACTATTTATTTTATAAAATAAAATGAGATTTATTTTTTTGTTTATAGTTACCTAATGAAATTGATTTTTTTTTTTTTTTTGGTTGTGTAGAAACTTTTATTGCGAGATGTATGAAATAGACTGTTCCGATCATTTATATATGCTCGAATTAGGACCCACAAGAGAGATATAGAGAGATATGGAGGGGAACTCATAACTATTCAAATAATAGATAAAGGCTAAGTTTGGCAAGTTGGAAAAAAGTCAAAAAGTCAAAAAATTATTCAAAAAGTTAAAAAGTTATCACTATTCATCAAAAGCTTTTTTTTTTTGGATGAGCCGTATTTTTGTCATTCTTTTTTTAAAAATTCTCCCTACACACTAATTTATACAATTTTTTAATACACGTTTTTTCATAAAAAGTCAAAAAATTAACCCAAACATCCATATTTTTTTTCTCAATTTTTTAGTCCAAAAAAATAAAAAATACACTTATTTAGGACACTCCAAACAATAAAAAAAAATTAAATTCATTAGAAGCCATTTATTAGAACATGTTTTTCTTTACGAAAGAAAATAGATAATTTATTTTTAAAATAATATTTATTGTTTATTTTTTTTTAACATAAATGCGTTCGAATTATATGGTTACAATTATGGTTACAATTATGAGATCAATTAGATTTTTAGAATAAACGATATGTTCAAAAATAATTTAGATCATTTATATATGCTCGAATTAGGACTCACAAGAGATATAGAGAAATATGGAGGGAAGCTCATCACAATTCAAATAATAGATTAACTATACAAAAAAATTAAATTCATTAGAAGCCATTTATTGGAACACGTTTTTCTTTACGAAAGAAAATAGTGTGTGAGTGATTTTCCGATCACACTGCCCAACTCAGTATTCAGCTGGAGAGAACTGGCAGAATAGATGACACCTAGCTGACCTGCAACGGAAAGAGAAGATTCCGGCGGTGGTTCGTCCACCCGGGGGCACTCCGACGATCAAGTCAGTATATCTCTCAAAGATGATTAATAATTAACAGTGCTAAACTCACTGTTCAGAATTTAAATTGTGTACCTTAAACCCATGGGGGTGCCTCTCTTTTATAATTAACTCAATCATTGTCTCGCCTAGTTTCAATGGACTCTTGCTCAGTGCTTATCCTGGACTCTCCAAGAAATAAAGATAAACTTCCTAAGAACTTTATCCTTATCCATGTTAAAGTCCTACCTCATTCTAGGACTCTTGTGCCTTATCCACTTATCTCGGATTTCGATATCTTCGGAGATAACTTTGGCCTTGCCGAGATCACCTCGGCGTCATGATCTGGACGCGTGGCACCTCGGCTGACATGTCGACATCATATTGGCCACGTGTTGGTATTCAGAAAATATATCCCCACAAAAATAGATAATTTATTTTTAAAATAATATTTATTGTTTATTTTTTTTAAACATAAATGTGTTCAAGTTATATGGTTACAATTATGAGATCAATTAGATTTTTAGAATAAACGATATGTTCAAAAATAATCCTACAAAATAATTGATCTGATTTATTAAAATAGATCCCATAATGTTTCCAGAAGAGGCAACACCCTGCAATTTCCAACCGGAAAGAATCCTTCACCATACCTGGTTTTATTTTAATTTCTTCATATTAAGGATTACCTGGTTTTAGGCCCATCCTGGTGATTTTTTTTTTTTTTTCGAGATTTAAAAGTCCGCATTTTTGGCTTAATTTTTTAAAATTATTTTTGAACTTTTTGCTTTTTATATTTTGTTTGTCTTAGTAAAAGAACAAAATTTAACAAAAAATTTTACTTTTTAAATGCGCCTAATTTACATGCACTTTAAAAATAAAAATATTTGTGAAGAAGTCAAAAAGAATTGACTAGATACCAAAAAAAAAATACCATTTTTTCATATTTAGGGAATTTTTTAAAAAAATCACTTTTTAATGTATTTAAGTGAATCTCAAAAGTATAATAATAAAAAAAAAGGAAAAATTACCTAACAGTTGTACTAACAAAAAATTATTACAAAATCATGAAAAAAATTTATAACTTTAATTATTAATGTGCTTGAAATTTACCACTTACCTGTAATTTTTTTTTAAAAGTCATTATTAAAAAAGTTTATTTTTTTAAATAAATGAGTAAAATTTTAATAAAGAAAACAATTTTGTGAGTTCAAACTAGGGCTGATAGCGGTTTGGTTGTGGCCAGGGAACCTCCAATCCGCTATCCGTCTGTTGAATTGGCGGATTAAAAAAAATCAATCTGCATTTGTCTGCCAAATTGGCAGATGTGAATTGAGCAGATTGACGAATTGACGAATGGATGCGAATCGGTTTGGCGGTTTAAACTTTTACAAATTTTAAACATAATACAATAACTTGTCAACAGTTTTTTTTATAACAATCAAACTCAATATAACCAAAAGATAATCAAGTAAATTAACAAATACCAATAATAAATACACATAAGAAAATAATGTATTATCAAAACTATTTAATTACTTTTTTTATTATTCAAAAATTATATAATTTGATTTTTTTTTAAATGACAAAATTAAGCCTTATATTTTCCACACAAAAATATTAAATATCAACACTTGCCATTTGATAAAAGAATTTTTAAATTGAAAACACAACAGAACATTTAAACTATTTTTTAATTTAAACTATAAACAGAATAGCTAAATAAATTGAAAATATAAATTCTTACAAATTACTAAGAGTGCTCATGATTTGAAGGTTCGATTGTGGGCAAAGGCCTCAAATCCGCCATTTATCCAAAACTAAATAGATTGAAAAAAATTAATCCATAACCATCTGCTCAACATCACGTATCCATCAAAAATGGGATAGACAGCTTGATTTAATCGATTTAGACAAATTAAAATACCCACTGAGCACCCTAACTTATCACAGCACCAATGCCACAC